TTCTGGCTTAGTAACCATTGGAAAGATGTTTTAAACTATTTCCATTCTTAATTAATTGTATTTTACGTTGACCTTCAGACCGCAGCTCTTTCGCTGGCATTGACTCTTAATCACTCTTAATACCTCTCACATATAACTCCATGTTATACATGGAGTATAACAGCGCCTCGCAGCTGTCTCTCTCCCCCTCCTCTGTTCCGACCATGGATGAACTCGTCCGTCTGAACGGGACCCGTAGCTATCCGTGTTGCTAAAGTTGAGGGTAAGAATCCACCCATTTTTTCGCCATATAGCATTGTGATATATAACGACTTATTGTTGGTAGCTTAGCTGATTGGAGAATATATAGAGTTTATTGATAACATTGAGGTAATTTATATTTTAGTTTTTTATTGGTTCACTATATAGTATTCATTATATATTGTAGTGTATACCCAGTTACTGTGAATAGCTCAGATGTGTAGGCTTTGACTTCAACACAGCCATTTCTGTGACCAGTCACAAGCTAATCACTCAGTTATTTCAATGCTAAATTCTCCTAGTTATTTCAATGCTAAATTATCCTGGTTGATTTGTACTAGGTGCCTCTGTGAATGTGTATGGTCTGACTTTAACATAGCTATTTCTGTGTGCAGTCACAAGCTAATCACTCAGCTATTTCAATGCTAAATTCAATGCTAATTCCTTTGTCAAGGGGTGCCTCTGCGGATGTGTATGCTTTAACTTTAACATAGCTATTTCTGTGACCAGTCACAAGCTAATCACTCAGCTATTTCAATGCTAAATTCTATGCTAATTCCTTTGTCAAGGCGCTTTGTTTCTTCTCACACAGCTTAAAGGTCGCGATCTGAGCGTGGCTTTTTCGCTCCAGCGCTGTCCTCCAGACAATCTCGTCCCTTCACCTGATGAAGTCCGCTTGTGTTGTGGCCGAAACGTCGTGAGAATTTTATTGTTATTTTATTTTATCAATTTATCATTTTATTCTCATTCTACCTGACTTTACCGAAAGAACCAAAGAAGATGAATCCTTGCAGTCACGAAAGCTTTAAATCAAAATTTAAGTCGTGAATTATACCGTGGGTGGCAAATATTTCTCGGTGGATAGCAAAGTATTGAGTGATACGTATGAAAATGGTCACGAAATTGTATTTTAATGGGTAAATGCATCACCATGAGCGTGCGTTTATCAAATTGGCATGCAGCTTCACCTTTCCCTTGTGTTAAGGAACTCGGGAAAGTTGTGAGTCGCAGCTGTGCCGTCTGAGCGGGTGACCAAGCAGCGCTACCATTGGCAGCAGTAGTGTCCAAAACCACGCGGTAGCCAAAGTCAGTATCAACAATGCATTTATAAACATATTGCAAAAGCAACAACACACAATAACGATGTTAAGCACAATACCGTTCGTTAAGATCTATGTTATATGTAAAAGTTATTATTATAAAAAGTAATTATAAGTATAAATAACCCGGGCGCGCAATTAAGTTTATTATTATACAATACTTATCACAGTATTACAGGCAAATGTACAATATTCCATATTTATGAGTTTAACAATATATAGGAATAGGTTTTACCCTTTTAACTGGCACAAAAACCAACACCAATGGAGACTAGGCTCTAAGAAAAGCCGTCTCGGGTGTGGACCAATCAAATTCAAGGACACTGCATATTATCAGCGTTGTTTTTTTTGTTTGCATTTTGACTGCTTGTGTTGTGGTTATTGCAGACATGATGCCTTGAATAAAGGTGTCAGTTTTTGTGCCAGTTAAAACGGGTTAAACCTATTCCTATATCTTGTTACTGGCAAAGGTCTCATAATGAGTTTAACAATGTTTATCTTTTTTTTAATTGAACATCATCACATTTTATAACGGGTCTGAGGAATGTATCCCGTTGGTAAGTTAAGGACTTCCCCCGTACATATAATATAAATATTAATAATTACAAATAATTATGAAGTATAAAATGTATAAATAATCCGGGTACAAAATTAGTCCCTCTCCACGGTTCCCCCACAGCAGCAAAGGCGCCGGAGCGCGGTTCCAAAGCGGCGCAGCCACCCCCTCCTGCTGGGACGCGCGCGGCAATGGGACTCTGTGAGCTCCTCCCGCCTCTCCTCGTCGCTCTCCTCCTTCGGCCTCCCCTCGTCGCTCTCCTCCCCCGGCCTCTCCTCGTCGCTCTCCTCGTTGCTCGCCCCCTCTTCCGTCTTCACCGTCGCTGGGGCGTCGTCATCTCCCAGCGAGGCAACCCCATGGCTCCCCGAAGCCTCTCCCTCCGCCTTGATGGAGACGGCCGAACCCGCGGTATCCCGAGGCCGATCTGCTCCGAATTGGCTCTCTCCCACTCCCTCGATATGAGCATCCAATCCCTTGGCATCCAGAGATGGATCGTCCGCGCTGATTTCCATTGAGGCAATGGACTGGCTCTGATTGCTCTCACTCTCTCCCACTTCCTTGGCGTGCAGAGGCTGACCGCTCTTGGTGTAGGTTTTGAGTGAGGCAAGGGAATGGCATTCACTCGCTTCCGTTGCATCAATGGAATCGCCCTCGCACACTTCCAATGTATCAATGGATTCGCCCTCGCACACTCCCATTGTATCAATGGATTCGCCCTCGAACACTTCCAATGTATCAATGGAATCGCCCTCGCACACTCTCATTGTATCAATAGAATCGCCCTCGCACACTCCCATTGTATTAACGGATTCGCCCTTGTACACTCCCAATGTATCAATGGATTCGCCCTTGTACACTCCCATTGTATCAATGGATTCGCCCTTGTACACTCCCAATGTATCAATGGATTCGCCCTTGTACATTCCCATTGTATCAATGGATTCGCCCTTGTACACTCCCAATGTATCAATGGAATCGCCCTCGCACACTCCCATTGTATCAATGGAATCGCCCTCGGACACTTCCATTGTATCAAAGGAATCGTCCTCGGACACTTGCATTGTATCAAAGAAATCGCCCTCGCACACTTCCATTGAATCAAAGGAATCGCCCTCGCACACTTCCATTGTATCAACGGAATCGCTCTCGTACACTTCCATTGCCTCAATGGAATCGCTCTCGTCCACTTCCATTGCCTCGATGGAATCGCCCTCGCACACCATTTCCATTGCCTTGATGGAATCGCCGTCCCTCATTTCCATTGCCTTTGTGCTCTCAATGTTGCTGCTGCTGCCGCTGCTCATGGTGCAATTAATTGAACAGGCACCACTGCAGCTCGTGAGGGAACCAAACATGGAAGATGAAAGTTGACCACAGTCAGGGTCGGCGTTGAACACTAGTGCCACATGATGCTCGGGTGCCGGTGCTGGGGTGGTGTTCATCCACGAGTGCTTGAGAGCACTCGCCGGCGTGCAGCGCGTGTCTGGGTTCCAGCTGCGGACAGAGAGACGAGTAGCCGTGAGACAGAGAGACAAGTAGCCATGAGGACATTCGGCATGAGGGGCGATTTCATCTTTGGCCTCGTTCGTGCGCAAAAAATGCGGTGCAGGTCTCCAATGGCATATCCGAGGCAAAAGACAATGATTTCATGTAATGACGGGATATGGGGTCGAACTAATATTAACTACAATGAAGATATAGAAGGCACAGAGAGGTCCTCCTGCAATTGTCCGTAGATCTCTGGGTCACGTTTTATCTGCCCAATGCATGGTGCCCTTACGTTTATAATAGCTCACGCTGCTTGAGGCAAGTGATGGGACCATGGCAAAGACGTGTACTGCTGGAAGGGCACATATTGAAACTGACTTGGGTTTGCTGAAGAAGTTGGCGGAAACTCAGCTGATGCGACACTTACCAAAGAATGGAGTTGATGAAGTCCAAGAACCCCAAGTCCCTGGACCCCAGAAACTGGTTGAGTGGGCAACGGTGAGTCTTGTGCTTGCGACATGCCCAGTTGAGCCTCCCACATACGTCTGTACCAGGGACAACCAAAACACGACGTGAGTGATTCAGATTATTATTATCGTTTAAAGCTGAAGCGTGTGTTGGAAAATCAATGTCTTTCACTTCGCTGTACAGTCGGCTGAGGGGTGTCACACTGCGACATCACAACTTTACGAATCACCGCGTGCAGTTTGCTCACCGAAATACTCGTGACATTTTGGCGAAGTGGTGAGCATCTCGCGCGGAGGTTTGCCCAGAATCTGAAAGCAGATGGAACATTTGTTGTTATGCTACTGGAGGGGTTAAGAAGATACTTCTTCATGTATTGGCTTGATGAGTACATCCTATTGATTAATTCATTAACTATTGAGGAATAAATTGAAGGCGTATAGAGTCGAGCTGTCTATAATGTCACGTGAGCTAAAAGTGGATTCCTGCTCAAATGAACATTGAGGAAGTGCTCATCTCCCGTTTGTAGTCGCCCTGAAACAGCAGTAGAAAAACAATCCACATTCCTGTGACAGGGATAGGTCCAGCCATATGACAACCACTGTTCACTTCCCAACATAGTGGTACCTAACACGTAGGCTTTCGCGATCAATAGTATTCATAATAAATGTTTTTGGGTGAGATCGCGTTATTTATAAATTTGTCGAAACCCTCCACCACCCGACATGGCCAATCAGTAAAAAAAGTGTCACGTTGACAAAAGACAAATAGTTCACTACCTTAGCCCACCGGTGTGTTGAAGAGTGAATCCACAACATTTACCATTTTTGAGTACGACGTTTTGCTGGTAATTACATCCAGCATCATCGGGCAATTTGGCAATTTAAAAAAACCTTTATTATGAATAGTTGTACTTATCTTATCAACCTGAGAGGGATGGTGAGGCGATTCAACCCTCAACCAGGATTTTAACTAATCTCACGTTTACAGCCCTGAGACAGTGGTAAATAAGATATCTACATTGCTGTGGCAGGGGTGGGTCCATCCATATGACAACCACTGTTGACTTCCCCCACGTAGTACTAATTTTATCAACCCCAGAGGGATGATGGGCATGGTAACTCTAAACCTTACATTGCCGGCCGGTCACTCTACCGCTGAGCCACCAACGCGAGCTCCAACTGCAACAACAACCCGTCAAAGGCACGGTGCCAATATCCACACACACGGCAGCTACACTGAGCGACTTCGTAGGCCGACGTCACGTTACCTCCGTGATGCCCACGATCTCGTGCAAGTCGCTGTAGCATGGCAGAAGCTGTTGCCCAGTGGACAGCTCTGCGAAGATGCAGCCGGCAGACCACATGTCGAGCGGCGTGCCAACCTGTAGGTTCAGCAGAACCTCGGGGGCCCGGTACCCTTGGGTAGAAACGAGGTGGTCGACTGCAGAGGAATGAGAAGGAAGGAGTCAATCATTCACCCTTTTACAGCTGTACATCACCCCCTGCAGTCAGCCACTTTTTAAATACATTAATTCAGCCAACTGGGATCAGGTTGAACATTTTCAAAATGCTACGGAGCCATGAACCCTGGTTCCTCAAAGTGCACTGTTTGTCTTCATCCAGATGTTGTTGCCACCACGAAATGGCAGCAGACACAGCGTGTGTGTGTGGTCCCGCAATCAAAAGCTACTTTGGGTCGCGTGAAATATTCAGGCAAGCCATGCGAGGGCATTGCCGGGTCAAGGTAGATGAGACCCCCGCTACCGCTATATGGCTAACATTTATTTTTAACCTGAGACACATTTCAGATAACACGTTCTGTCGGAAGATATAAAAGAACGTTAGTACACTTTGTATCAAGATACGTGAATTGTATATTACCCAGCTCATTCTCGAAGAAACTCAATCCGAAGTCAGCCAGCTTGATTGTCCCCATCTCGTGGTCTTTGACGAGGATGTTAGCCTAAATTAAAACATGAAAACAGCTGCACATTACATTCTGTATTTAACCAGATGAGAGCCCATTGAGATGATCACTGTCTGTGTGGATCTAAGGCTGAAAGTGTCCACACATTAGCTCTGTCCACGTGGCTGTAAGTGGAAGGGGGCGTAAAAACTCTCGTGACGATGATCCAACACGAACAGAATTTTTACATGAGGTTATCCATGACAAAGTTCGATAACTGTAAGACACTTCGCGTGAATATTGTAATGCTGTAAAACTTTACGGACAATAGGAAAAAGTGGGTTGGGTACAATCGTTTGTTGTGTGTCATACAGCTCCCAGGGATCATTGGAGCCACATGAATTAGGATTGTGGATAAGAGAAGCTCCACTGTGGTAGGTGGCTGTGACCAGAACTAAACTGGCTACCACGTGGCACTGGGGGGCCAGAGGTGCATAAGGGCATAGACTGCTTTAAAAATGAAGGCACAGCCCTGCAATTGCTTGGTAGGGCAATTGCTGGCAGAAGAGCCTCGACTGAACGTGGCTCTGGACAGCCGCCCTCGAGCGGGTGTTTGGCCAACGCTGCCATGCTGACTTGAAAAAGTGAGAGTACCCACATTTTACTCCACACATTCGACAGTGATGGACTCATTCGTATTGCACGGTGCACATAGGAGGGAGGGGGATGAGGGGGGGAAATTAGAAAACTTCCAACTGCCGCACCATGAGAGATCGAATCGAACCAGTGGCCTCTTGTTTTACAACCTCTGTGCTCTGATCATTCCACCGCGGCAGCGTCCCTCACTCGCGACTGCCGAGCACAATTCTCAACACTCACCGCCTTGATGTCTGCATGCACCACGCCTTTCTTCTTTAGGAACTTCAGACCTTTCAACACGGACCGGGCGTAGCGCCGGACATTGGCCAGAGGCAAGGCTCCATTCTTAAACACCTCCCAAAGGCTCCCCTTGCTAAAAACAGCACACACAGCACAGAGTGCCATGTAGTCGCATACACAGCCTCGCTTGCAAAGTCGCTGGCACATCGCGTACACGCACGACGAGGAGTGAAACTCCATGAGGGGGAGGAAAGGCATTGGAGCTGTAGTGATGCCATGCGCACTCGGTGATGGTTTAAATGGCTTAACGATACAGGGCGATGACCACAACGTGCTGCGCAGCAGGAGGATTGGCCCTTCCACGGCTGTGCGCTTTTTTTTCCATCTACGTAACCCTGCAGGCAGCCATATTTTAAAGTAAATTTTGCCAACTTGGTCGGGTTAGTTTTTGGTGACAATATTCAGAACATTACTGAAGTCCATGACCCTGGTCACAGTGTGCTTTATTCTCTTTACAAGTTGTTGCCACGAGACGGCAGCAGCCATGTCGCGTGTGTGATCCCGCGTACAGAACCTACATTCTGTCGCGCGAAATATCGAGACTCTACCACAAGAGGGCATTGCCGGGTCCTCAGAATAGACAGGACCGGCTGTGAAAGGATCAGCGAGACTGGACTGTCACCACGTGCTTAGTAACCCATAGATGAATGCCAACTCTGAGATCACAACAAAGCAACGCCACGTGGCTTTGTCGATGATCGAGCATGAGGCTCAAGCAGGTGTCAAGCTAGTATTCGTACACAGCCTGTCAACGCGACGGTGTCGGTGGACTCGGTGTTATCCTTACCTCATGTACTCAAGGACCAAGAAATGTTCGAATTCGATGACAAAATCTTCCTCGAACCGGATGATGCTGCTGTTCTTCAGCTGCTTCAGGAAGACGGCCTCACGGTACTTGTTCTGCTTTGTCAAACTGCGCAAAGACATAAACACGAGTTGAAAATAAAACGTCGTCTACGCTGTTATCAGTTAAATCAAAGCCTTATCGTGTGCCTTCCTGGTGGAGGCACGCGTGTTAGTGTTGCGGCGACACACAAGAGTTTCTGAATGCAAGTCGTCGCACGGATCGCCACTCGGTCTCACCAAACAGTCTTGTCGGACACCTTCAGTGCAACCTCCTTCATTTCCTTGAGGTCGAAACACCTGAACACTTGACCATAGGATCCCTCACCCAACATGTTCAAGACCTCGTAGCGATTCTTGATGATCTCGGGCGCCATCTGGTCACGGGAGAGGGGTGCAGAAGAGCATGCAATCAGCGAGTGCAGGTAGCGGTCCGGATGGTTGCCAGTTGACTCTCGTTCCACAGAGTGCTATGGAGAGACTGCAAGGTCCCTATGAAAGCAACGTGGAATTTATGCAACTTTCTTCAATGCCACATTGAGGTTTGTGAGCATTTGTGTGGAGCAAAGAAACACTGATGACATCAATTAACCAGCGCTCAACCAAGTGCTCTCCCCACCTCAACTGACCTGCCAAGGGATCATGGCAGATGGTCAGGAATGATGACGGAGCAGCAATTAATTAAGAAAACGCTTCCAAGAGGGCGTCTACCGGGGGAGATGGAGCGTTGCATCAGATGGCGTGCAGACGTGAGGTGGATTTTATTGCATGTCTGGAATGTGAGAGATGGTGGAGGATTCTGGGGGGCTTAATCCAGCTGCGGATCGATCATGGCTGATCATGGTGATGTTTTTATTAGAACAAGGTGAAGGTGCTGCCTTGCAATTTGTTGCTCATGCCACTGCTGGTGCAAAGACCTGGACCAGAGTGAGCTCTGGAGAGCGTCTCCTCTGTAATTTCACTCTGGTTCTCTCATTTTTATCTATTCTGGCCTCTCCCTTCATCTCTGTCTCTTGTCTATCTCCTGCCTCTCATCTCCCGATGTATCTATCTTTCATCATTTTTTATCTCAATAGATCTCTAAATCGTATCTGTCTCTTATCGAACCACCCTGCGTCTCTATTTTCATCTCCTTTCTGTCATACCACTGTATATCTTTCTCTTGTCTGTACCTCTTATCTACTCATGTCTCTCTAATTGCATCTCTTTTCATCACAATAGATCTCTGTCGCGTGTCTATATCTCAGCTAATCTCAGTGCGCCTCTGCATCTCACCAGATGTCTATCTCGTTTGTATCCCTTAGCTCATTTCCGTAAGTCTTTTTCTCTTGTTTGCATCACCTGTTTCATATCCCTTCATCCGTTTTCTCATCTGCATCTCCTCTCATCTCCCTGAGTCTGTCTTTTTTTCCTTATCCCCTTCTCACTGCGTATCTTCCTCTTGTCTCTCTCTCACCTATTGCTTTTATTTGATTTCATCTCGTGTTATTGCACTGTCTTGCACATCGCTAAAGTATTATATAATCACGTATATTCACATCTCTTAGACTTATTTTATACTGTTTTTTTCGGTAAAGTCACGTAGGTAAAAAAATCAATGAAATAAAATAAATGAAAACAACTAAATTTAGTTCTTTTCATTTTTACCGAAAAAACCAAAGAGTATGAATTCTTGCAGTCACGAAAGCTTCAAATCTAGACCTATTTTACTCGCTCTATATCTCTCATATTGCGATATATCTCTTATTCCAATGTTCCTACCTCGACCAATATCTCCTATGTACATCTCCCATTCCCCTCTTGCTTGTATCTCTATTCTATATGACTCTATCTCAAAATCAAAATGTATTGCTTGCTCCATCTCAAACCATTATCTCCACCATCACAAGAACTCAAGAGTTGGTTTAACACGAAGCTGCTACAGCACTCATAGTGAACACCAAAACCCCACTCACCTATTATGTCTATGCAGCAGTTGTGCACAGGCGATACACACGCGTGTGAAATACACACGAACATACGATGGACATTAACGTGAGCCGCTACTTACACTAATATTAACATTATTCTTGGTTCTTTCGGTAAAGTCACGTAGAAGGGAAACAATAAAATAATAAAAATACATAACAATAAAATTCTCACGACGTTTCGACTGCAACACAAGCAATCATCATCAGTTGGGAAAACCACAACAAGAAATTTTGAAAAAATCGAGATATAGATCTAATTTTCTTGCTGTGGTTTTCACACCTGATGATGATTGCTTGTGTTGCAGTCGAAACGTCGTGAGAATGTAATTGTTTCATATTTTTATTATTTTATTGTTTCCCTTCTACGTGGTGACTTTACCGAAAGAACCAAGAATATGAATCCCTGCAGTCACGAAAGCTTTAAATCAAAATTTAATATTAACATTGTTTACCCTTAGAAGAGACAGCTCGCCATCCACGAAAATATTTTGTTGTTGAATTTCGTTTTTTAATTACGTTTAGTACAGCTCTATGCAGCAGACGTGAACGTAAGTAAATAATTAAGTTTATTACCTTTGCAAGTCGAAATATTCGTCTTAAAGTTCGACAAAGACGCTCTAGAATCGTTGAGCTCCGACGCGCGCGTGCTCCCTCCGTTGTCCAATTCGTATGTCGTCACAGTGACGTCACGGTGACGCATCAGCCAGCTAAAGCTCCGCCCCCACCGGAAGCGGCATCCGCCTCCCTCTGAAGCCCCGCCCCTTTTTTCTCCCCGCCCCCTGAGCGCGTGGTTCATGGCGGACACAGCCAGCAGCAGGAGGCACTTGGGGCCTACTCCACCCTCCTCATCCCCCTACCTCCTCACTCATCCCCCTACCTCCTCATCCTCCTAGCTCCTCACTCATCCTCATCCTTTCACCTCCCTCTGGGCCTCTCCTCACCCTCCCTCCTCATCCTCTCTGCAACACAACCCTCATCCTCCCTGCATCACAACCCTCCTCATCCTCCCTCCGAGCTTCCTCATCAACCCTCATCCTTCTAATATCTCCTCCTCAACCCTCGTCGTCTCTCGCCTCGTCCTGCTGAGCGTCACCCACCCTGCAGCCGCTACAGTAGCAGCAGCAGCCGCCGGGTGCTGGGGCCTAGGAAAGTTAGGATGAGGTTAGCATCACCATCACCACCACCATCCTCTCTCTTATGTCACCTCCATCACCCTCATCAGATCGACGATGGTTATCTACGTCATCATCATCATCTCGGCCTGGTAATTCTCGTTAGAATAGTCATTGTTTTTACCATCATCTTGAACCACCACCATCCTCGCCATCACTAACGTCACGTTAACCATCATCACCATCACTAACATTACCTCAACAATCATCACCATCACTAACATCACCTCAAACATCATCACCATCACTAACATGACCAACACTAACATCACCTCAACAATCATCACCATCACTAACATCACCTCAACAATCATCACCATCACTAACATCACCTCAAACATCATCACCAACACTAACATCACCTCAAACAACATCACCATCAATAACGTTACCTCAACAATCATCACCATCACTAACATCACCTCAAACATCATCACCATCATTAACGTTACCTCAACCATCATCACCATCACTAACATCACCTCAAACAACATCACCATCACTAACGTTACCTCAACCATCATCACCATCACTAACATCACCTCAACAACACCATCATTAACGTCACCAACACTAACATCACCTCAACCATCATCACCATCACTAACATCAACTTAACCATCAGCCATCACTAACATCACCTCAACATCACCTCAACCATCATCACCATCACTAACGTCACCTCAACAATCATCACCATCACTAACGTCACCTCAACCATCATCACCATTACTAACATTACCTCAACAACATCACTATCACTAACATCACCTCAACAATCATCACCATCACTAACGTCACCTCAGCAAACACCATCACTAACATCACCTCAACAACATCACCAACACTAACATCACCTCAACCATCATCACCATCACTGACATGACCTCAACAATATTCACCATCGCTAACGTCACCTCAACAACCACCATCACTAACATCACCACAACCACCATCACTAACATCACCTCAACCATCATCACCATCACTAACATCACCTCAGCCATCATCACCATCACTAACATCACCTCAACCATCATCAACATCACTAACGTCACCTAAACAACAACCACCATCACTAACACTACCTCAACCATCATCACCATCACTAACATCACCTCAACCATCATCACCATCACTAACATCACCTCAACCATCATCACCATCACTAACATCACCTCAACCAGCACCATGACTAACGTCACCTCAACCATCATCACCATCACTAACATCACCTCAACAACATCGCTATCACTAAAGTCACCTCAACCATCATCACCATCACTAACGTCACCTCAACCATCTCCATCACTAACATTACCTCAACAACATCACTATCACTAACGTCACCTCAACCATCATCACCATCACTAACATCACCATCACTAACGTCACCTCAACAATCATCACCATCACTAACATTACCTCAACAACATCACCAACACTAACATCGCCTCAACCGTCATCACCATCACTAACATCACCTCAACCATCATCACCATCACTGACATGACCTCAACAATAATCACCATCGCTAACGTCACCTCAACAACCACCATCACTAACATCACCACAACCACCATCACTTACATCACCTCAACCATCATCACCATCACTAACATCACCTCAACCATCATCACCATCACTAACGTTACCTCAACCATCATGACCATCACTAACGTTACCTCAACCATCATCACCATCACTAACATCACCTCAACCATCATCACCATCACTAACGTCACCTCAACAACAACCACCATCACTAACATCACCTCAACCATCATCACCATCACTAACATCACCTCAACCATCATCACCATCACTAACATCACCTCAACCATCACCAACGTCACCTCAACAATCATCACCACTAACATCACCTCAATCATGATCACCATCACTAACATTACCTCAACAACCATCACTAACGTCACCATAATCATCACCATCACTAACGTCACCTCAGCAATCATCACTAGCATGACCTCATCCATCATCACCATCACTAACATCACCTCAACAACCATCACCGTCACTAACGTCACCTCAACAACCATCACCGTCACTAACGTCACCTCAACAATCATCACCATCATTAACGTCACCTCAACCATCATCACCATCACTAACGTTACCTCAACAATCATCACCATCACTAAAGTCACCTCAACAACATCACCGTCACTAACGTCATCTCAACAACATCACCGTCACTAACGTTACCTCAACAAT